CAAAAAAGCTACAGACCTTTATCAACTCATGTCTCCGAACGATTTTACGAATCCGCTGGCCCACCGTCATCACCAACGAGGATCTCTGGCGGCGCACACAACAAGAACCAGTGGAAGAGTTAATCTGCCAGCGCAGATGGAGATGGATTGGCCACACCCTCAGAAAGCCCGCATCAAGTATCACGAGACAAGCCCTGACTTGGAACCCCCAGGGTAAGAGAAAAAGAGGTCGACCCAAAACAACTTGGAGAAGGGAACTGGAGGCAGACATCAAAAAGAGTGGGCACAACTGGGGACAGTTGGAGAGACTTGCCCAAGACCGGGATGCCTGGAGAGCCTTTGTTTGTGGCCTATGCCCCAGACGGGACGACAGGCGATGATTGATTGATTGATTGATTATACAATTCTGAGTATCATCATGTAGCAGAGTCGTGAAACTACAACAACATCAACTACAATCACAATATGATCCAATGATAGGCTATGTATACAATGGTATACAATCAGTAACAATGCCAATCAGCCGAATCAACAATGCCAATCGCAGCTAAAATTATTTTTAATAAATTAAAAGTAACGGGATAGAAATATCGATTCAGCTCTCATGATTACAAGTAAGAATCAAGAAGAGTAGTGAGTAGTCAGAGGTAAGAAGAGGCCAATACAATGATTGTTACAATGATTATGATAATAGTAATAGTCAATAGTCTAATAATTTAACTTATTTAACTTAATCCGCTTAAGACTTAAGGTCTAGTAGCTTTGACTTAGCCTATGCCCCTTATTTGTTACTTTCTTTCAGATACTCACCTTATCAATTACAACGAATTTTTAATTAGACTCTAACAAAATCTAACTTGAACTTAGACTTAGAGTTAGACTTAACTAAGGGGCCATCCAGAAAAAATGATGTCACGCACATTTTGGCAGTTTATGACACCCCTCCCCCCACCCTTTTCCCCCCTTATAATCACGTAAAGTTAGACTACCCCCCTCCAGTATAACATCACAAACTCCCCCCCCCCCCCTTTTCCCCCATAAAATACCATATGCCCACTATGGCATGGTCCTTTATAAACCCTTGCCCTTACAGCCTTACAAATATCACCTAGATATCGAATAATGGTTATTGCACCTTGGTCTGAAACATTCCCCAAGAAAAGTGGTTCTTATATTTAAAGCACCCCCTGTGGTGTGGAAGACTCGGAAAATAAATTTCATTTGCTGTGATTGCTAGTTGTTTCTGCCTTTACAAAATAAAATAATTTTTTATGCATTTTGAATAGCAGTAGTAAATATTTTTTTTGTGGTGAATTTTGTTTCTGCATTACTTGTACTGGTAATTTGTTCTTGTATTTAGAAAGTTAATTAAATGAATAAAACAACAAT